TCCGATTTACAGGTTATGAGATAGACCCAGGTCGACTGGGTGTAATCATTAACAAAAGAAACATAGTAGATGGAACCTATGTTACCTGGAACGTGGATCGTTCTGGTATGTGGAACGGGAATGGGAACGTGGTACGCCATATGCTCTAAAATGTGGTACAATAGGGGTAGACTTGTATATATTATACTTAAGAATTTAAGATACTTCTAGAGTAAATTTTTTTTTTAACTAGTAGATATCCAATAAAATGCAATAATTTCTATGAGCATTATGACCCATTTTTTTTTTTTAGGTTTTTGTCTTGTCAAAACTTAACTCACCTTAAATTTTAGTTCATTATATTTGAATTTTTTTCGGCTAAGATAACATTTAAGGACATATATTGCAAAAAAACTTTTGGGATTGTTTTGGATCACTACATTTACCGTTTTGGAATGAAAGTGTACCATGTTTCGGAACGTGCGAACCAATATGTAATTCGTTAGGGTATTAGTGTTTTTTGGTAACATAGGACAAAACCACCTTTGATGGCAATGGGGGAAGGGCTCCACAAATCAACATGCACAAGAGAAAAAAGGGTAGAAGTAATTGAGGTAGTTTTTGTTAAACGGTAAAGCATACATATTAGCATTTTTACAACCACTACACCCAAACGTATCACTACAGGCTACTTTGCCGAACACCCTAGATTGAGCCAATGATTTTGGATGCTCACCAAACAAATAACCTAACCTAGCATGCCAAAGAAAAAAAGACTTGAATTCTGATCTAAACAAAATGAAGAGAGAGCTGCTAAAAATGACAAAATAGGGATATGAAGACTTTCCACCACATAGAGATCTCTAACTCTACGCTTGATTCCAATTTTCTTCTTGGATGTCCTATCTTGAGTAACACAAGCATAGCAGGAGAAAATAACATCCAAAGCAAATCAACAAGTTGACTAATATAGAGTAAGCTAATGGACAACTGAGGAACATAAAAAATGTAGTAAAGATAAATGCCATCAAATGGAGGAGGGGGAGTAGATGCGGAAGTAGCAAAGGTAGCAGGAGGACGAAAACTACTATGAGCTAGTGGACGAGACACTGACTGAGGAGGCTGAGCAGGTTGATGACCCTTCTTTGGAGATTGATTCTTTCAGTGACCTTTCTTATGGAAAAAGGCGCATTACTCTATAGCAAGACGAGACTTCGATTTCCCAATGGCCTGGATGAGGTGTGTAGAGGAAGTAGGCAATAGTGGAGATTGCTGAGAAGCAGTAAAAATAGATAGAGAAGCAATATCATTTTGAGCAACCTTAGAGCGAACTAATGGCAAAGGTGAATGATGAAGGATTGCACCATGAAGAGACTCAAATTGATCATGAAGTGCCATAAAAAACTAAACAAGCCTTTGGACACTTCTAAGAAAGTGATGTATCCATGTCAGACATCAACGCTCTTTGGACACTTTCTCGACACGTGTCCGATACTCTTCAAAATGTGTCTTATTTTTAATTTTTTTTAAAGATTCGGACATTCTTTGGACAATTTGAGGGCACGTGCCTATTGCTTAAATACATGTGTATTGATTAGATACATGTGAAATTAGTTTTAAGTTTGAATAAAACAACTAAAGACACAATAATAAAACAAAAATCATATAAATTTATAGGAATTAGTCATATTGCATTTTTTATTATATTTGAATGATATTCATATATGTAACATATAATAAATATATAAAATTATATATTTCATGTGTGTCCGGCACATGTCGTGTTTTGCATTTTTTGAGAATTGGCATGTCAGCGTGTCCGTGTCGCATGTCCGTCATGTCCATATGTCTTAGCATGAGACCTAGTTCATCCTAATACCGTGTCATCTCATTGTAGAATTCTTTAACTGACTTGTCCTATTGCAGAGCACTCTGAATTGAAATTTCCAACTCATATTGCTTGGAAAAATTTGATTCAAGATACATAGTTTGAAGGTAGTCCCAAACTTTTTGTGTAGTAGGGAATTTGAACAAATTCATACTGGTATTGAGTTCAACAGAATTGTGCAACCAAGCTATGAAGCACGAACATGGATACGAACACAGATATGGACATGGACACGTTGATTTCAAAAAAGATACAGACAAAACGGGGGACACGACAAATTATTATTATTTTTATTATATCTTTTTGCTATGTAGATTAATATTATATTACCTTACATTTATTCTATATATATATATATATAAACCACTATATTTAAACAAATTAATAGATTATCCATATTTGAATGCACACGTCCCCGCCATTTCTCTTGCCCTCTTTCCAAAAAAAAAAAAAAATCAAATGGCGTGTCCTCATGTCCCTGCCGTGAAATAATAAAATTAAGCAAACACATCATTTGGCATGTCCCGTACGTGTCCCTGTGTTGAACACTGCTATGACACCTATTTTGAAGTGTCTGTATTTCATAGCAACCAGGTGAGGACTTGGGCATTTTTATATCCCATTTTGCAAAACCCTCAACGTTACTATTAGTTGGTTGGGGTGTTAAACCCATCAAATAACCCATACGACCATGACCATGACCAAGAACGAAATTTCTAAACTCAGTTGACTAATATGAAAAATTGTGCCTATTTAAGTGGATGTTAATTGCTTGAACCTTATCCTCAGACATGACTTAAGAAGAGGGAAACAAATAGGATTATAGGTAAAGTAGTGGGTCTTTATCAAAATTTTTCAAAGTCAAGTATATACTGCTACCAACAGCAATTCAATATAAAATATGCCACAAGCCAAACACAATCGAACAACCTGGATACAATTGCAAACTTGAGAGAGAAGGGAACAAACCAGCGACAGAAGGAGGAAGACAGCAATGGCGAACCAGAGTTGACAAACCAAAGTCGGCAAAATTACGAACAGCGAACAACGAACTAGAGACGACAGAATCATGATGGCAATGGCTGCAAATTGTATTTTTTAATTTTTCTATTGTGATGGTTAGGTGGCGGCAACTATAGCGCTAATGGTTTTGCAACGATAATATTGTTGAGGGAACAGGGGCAGTGGCGGTTGTGTAATGATGACGGTGGGTATGACAATAGTGACAATGGTTGCAGATATGAAGCGTTGTGGTAATTGTATTGTGGTAGAGTGATGGTGGTAATGGCAATGGCAACTGTAATGGTCATAGTGAAATGATGGTGGTGTCCTCTGTTATCAGAATCTTACAATTCGCGCTTCGATTTGCAATTTTTACAAAATTTATACGAATCTATGGTTGAATTTATTTTGGAAGTGAATCTCTAGTGAATTGTACGATTCACAATCGATTCACGATTCAATTCACTTTTAACAATTCATGCAATTTTTGAAACTATCATGTCTAACATATTTTGATTATATTTTTCACCATATTTTTTAGTTAAAATGACATAATACAATTTCTAATTGTGTTTAGTACAAAAAATAAACAATATATATACATGATTTGTTATTATTTTGGAGATCAAATAGTTTTTAATAGGATCCAATCAGATTAGGTCAACCTCAACATTTTTTAGCCTTTTCTTCTCATTTTTTTTTTCCTTAAAAAAAATCATAATGTATATTCTAAAGATGTTTAAGATTAAAGTAACTTGCAATATGAATTATTTATTGTTATTTTATTAAAATAAATATACTTCAATATTACATGGGTGAGGTCAGTTAAACCTAAATAGTTCTTGAAGTTCCTTATTATTGGGTCATTGGTACTTGTAAAGGTATGTGTGCTTATGAAATATCAACATCGTTATTAAGTTTTTGTTATTTGAAAATTGAGTGTTTATCTTTTGTTTACTTTTTTTATTAAGAATGGTTGATAAGCAATACTTGAATAAGGGAAAAGGTAAGACGGTGATCTTACATGGGAACTTGTGTTAACTTCTTACCTATTAGACCACATGATCATCATTCAAAATAACATTTTCATTGATTTTAAGTCTAAACATTTTATATTTATAAGATATATTTAACATCAAAGTGTGTAGATATATTTTTTTTTAGTAATATAGAAACAGTGACTAAATCTTTGCGACTCAGAATTTGATTCGCGATTCAGTACGAGGCCATTTTGATTCACGATATGACAACTATGGTTGGTTCCTATGGCAATGATGACGATAATGATGAAGATGGTGCCAGTGGAGGTGACAGTAGTTGTAGTGGTGGCATGGTGGCGGTGGTAGTGGTAGTGGTGACGGTGGTAGCAGTGGTGGTGATGGTCCTGGCAGTGGTGGTGAGGCATAACGGTGTATGTTGACGCTTATGCATAAGTATTTATTAATTTAGTCAATATTAAGTAAATTTTCTAACACATAATTTTCATAACTTTTGTACTATATTTTAAGAGCCACTTAAATTTTCAAGTGATTCTAATTGTAGTTACCAAACGGACGTAACTGACTTTCACTTAATACATTTAGTTTTAAGTGGTGAATTAGGTTATCAAACACCACCTTGGTCACCCTATGAACGTGAATTTCTTTTCACAAGCTCTCTTAACAACAATCTTGATTTACACATTTATATGTTGTATGATACAAGCTGACAATATATTTTGTTTATACCAATTTATCTTGCGTGAATCTGTGTCTCCATGCAAGGTGGCACAAAAACGATCTGGCATGGAAAAGGAGTACTCGAAGAATTTTCCCTAGTAGTTTAATTGTGTTTACATGTTCATGTCTTTCAAGGATTTTTCTTTTATTATATTTTGCTTTGATGAGTTCCAGGCCTTTTTATTTAAGCAGCATTGTAGGGTTTAGTAAGCACTTTCTAGACTCATGTCCAATTCTCTGGTGGCCAAAATATGGTGTTTGTACCATGTGTTCGCTGATGTATATATATATATTTTCTTCCCAGTTCTCTGATGAGAAACATTTATATGGTAGTTTTACTTTTAGTAATTGTATTAATAACTAGCCAATCATCCTTTTTTTCTTCTTCTTATTTTTTATTCTTCTTAAACTAGATCAAAGCAAATGCCGTTAGGGCTCTTGGAAATCTTTCTAGATTTGTCCAATTTACAAGTCAGCCTGGTATTTCCAATGAGCATGTGGATGTTATGGGCTTGTCTCTAATAAGTGACAGTGCTGAAGAGCTGCCAGGTAGGAGTGATCTTAATGATAAGCAGAAGGAAAAATTGGCTTTGAATTCATTCCAGCCAGCTTCATTGGAAGATTCACAATGGCTGGGAAAGATGGTGCAGGCATTTCTTTCTTGTGTTGCAACTGGAAACGTGAAGGTATTATTTGTTCTTTCTTAAAGCAATGCTTTCGGTATTTTTATGTGGGTGGCATTCTTGATTTTATTTGTTCTCCATTCAGTTATTATACCGGCTAAGTATTGGACTTTTTTTAAGCAGGTTCAATGGAATGTTTGCCACGCATTGAGCAACTTATTTCTAAATGAAACATTAAAACTGGGAAATATGGATTGGTAAGGAGTTACCTTGCTCATTTGTATGTTGATGTTTGATGGTTCTTATACGATTGAAACTTCTCTTCCGAATAGAAAGAACTAAATAATTATATGTTGGACTTGTAATGCAGTTTTCTTTTGTATGGAGGTATTCAAACCTTTGATGCATGAATCGTTGGTGATATAAAATACGGATTTTGATGGTTTTGGCATGTGGATAGAAGACTAGTGATAAGTAAGGATGGTATCCGGGCGGGTATCGATTGGAAGATCCCTACCCCATTCCCCACCCTTGCTGACTTTCATTGAACCTTGTGATACAAGTAGAGACAGTAGCAAATTTGTGTTAGAATTTACCAATTTGCTCCTCCACCTACCATCTCCACTAGCACCCACTTCACCTACCACCTCCACTACACTACACCTACTACCACCTTCTCTTCTATATATAGGAGTTATGAGCCACTCACCATTTGTAATATATATACATCAATCAATAATATACATCAATATATTTTTACATGGTATCAGAGCAAGGATAAGAACTTAGTGATTCCGCTTCACCGGCGGGCGGCAGCCTCGCCTTGGCCGTCCGCCGGACAAACCCAAATTTTCTAACTCTCTCTGTAGCTTTCTCTCTCTAAAACTATATCTGACATGGCAGCTGAAGAGCCTCCGGCTCCTCCCTCTCTTCCTCAGTACCCAGAGATGATTATGGCTGCAATCGAGGCTCTGAACGACAAGAACGGTTCCAGCAAGTCGGCGATCTCGAAGCACATCGAGGCCACCGCTTCCAGCGACGTTCCGGCGGCGCATGCGACGCTTCCGGCTCCTCCCTCTCTTCCTCAGTACCCAGAGATGATTATGGCTGCGATCGAGGCTCTGAACGACAAGAACGGTTCCAGCAAGTCGGCGATCTCGAAGCACATCGAGGCCACCGCTTCCAGCGACGTTCCGGCGGCGCATGCGACGCTTCTCTCTCATCATTTGAACAAGATGAAGCAGAGCGGTCAGCTCGTCATGGTCAAGACCAACTACATGAAGCCCGACCCCAACGCGCCGCCGAGACGCAGCCGCGGCCGTCCGCCGGAGCCCAAGGCTTAGCCGCCGCCTGACGCGGAAGAGGCTTCCCCGCCGAGGCCTAGAGGCCGCCCTTCGAAATCTACTGATCCATCGGCTCCGCCACCTGGTGAAGAGCGGAGAGGGAGAGGACGGCCACCAAAGGTCAAGCCCGCGGTGGCTGCTCCGGGAGGATCAGATTCTCATGGCCAGAAACTTCAACCCAGTCCGAATCGCCGAGTTAGGAACGGCGGCAGAGCGGAAGGCGGAGGGGGTGCCCGAGTTCGAACCTTACTTCAAGAAGTTGGAATAATCTGTGGGAATAATGGAGAAGACTGGTTGGGAATCTGATCTCTACTCCCCTCTCTCTCTCCACTATATCCCCTCACTCTCTGTTTCTCACTTTACTTTCTTTTCTTTTCTTTATTTTTTTCCCACAACCCACTCATCACACGCACGGACCTTTACACCCAGCAGATTCCTACACACACACCCATTTGCGGAGGGGGAAGACACGGTTTCTCTCTCTCAAGACCCACCCACTCACATTTTTCGAATCTCTCCCTCTCTTTTCCTTTTTTTTTTTTTATCACAACCATTTAATCAGTGATGATGCAGAGGAGCAGCACGCTTACTCTTAGTGCTCCACACCCATTCTTTTTTTTCTTTATTTAATCACACCCACATGTTCTCTCTTTCTGCACATGCACATTATTCCCAACCATCCTTTCACTTTTGTCCAAATTCAGATTTTCCAGAGGTGCTCCAATTTTTTAGATTTTTCCAAATTCAGATTTTATCAATATATGATACCCATTTTTTTTTTTATTATTATTCTTATTATTCTTATTACAAAAAAAAAAAAAAAAAAAAAAAAAAAAAAAAGGCCAAACACCATTGCAAACAATTTACAAATTTGCACAACCACCCATATTTTATTCATCTCAGCGAACAACCCCGTTCACCATTTTACATCACAAAAAAAAAAAAAAAAAAAAAAAAAAAAAAAAAAAAAAAAAAAAAAAAAAAAAAAAAAAAAAAAAAAAAAAAAAAAAAAAAAAAAACAAACAAAACAAAACAAAACAAAAACAAAAACCACCACACCCACAGTGGGATTTTCCCTTCTCTACTCTGCCGCCGGTCTCTTCTTCTTGCCTCCGTCCTGGGCGGCCCTTGCCGGTCATCCTTTTTTTCTTCTTCTTATTTTTTATTCTTCTTAAACTAGATCAAAGCAAATGCCGTTAGGGCTCTTGGAAATCTTTCTAGATTTGTCCAATTTACAAGTCAGCCTGGTATTTCCAATGAGCATGTGGATGTTATGGGCTTGTCTCTAATAAGTGACAGTGCTGAAGAGCTGCCAGGTAGGAGTGATCTTAATGATAAGCAGAAGGAAAAATTGGCTTTGAATTCATTCCAGCCAGCTTCATTGGAAGATTCACAATGGCTGGGAAAGATGGTGCAGGCATTTCTTTCTTGTGTTGCAACTGGAAACGTGAAGGTATTATTTGTTCTTTCTTAAAGCAATGCTTTCGGTATTTTTATGTGGGTGGCATTCTTGATTTTATTTGTTCTCCATTCAGTTATTATACCGGCTAAGTATTGAACTTTTTTTAAGCAGGTTCAATGGAATGTTTGCCACGCATTGAGCAACTTATTTCTAAATGAAACATTAAAACTGGGAAATATGGATTGGTAAGGAGTTACCTTGCTCATTTGTATGTTGATGTTTGATGGTTCTTATATGATTGAAACTTCTCTTCCGAATAGAAAGAACTAAATAATTATATGTTGGACTTGTAATGCAGTTTTCTTTTGTATGGAGGTATTCAAAACCTTTGATGCATGAATCCTTGGTGATATAAAATACAGATTTTGATGGTTTTGGCATGTGGATAGAAGACTAGTGATAAGTAAGGATGGTATCCAGGTGGGTATCGATTGGAAGAACCCTACCCCATTCCAAACCCTTGCTGACTTTTATTGAACCTTGTGATACAAGTAGAGACAGTAGCAAATTTGGGCTTCTGGGGCTGATTTTAGATGGGTTTTATGGCTGAAATTACAATAAGAGTATAGGGGACAAGTAGGGTTTCTTTAGGGTAATAAATAAGTGAGAGTTTAAGCATGAAAAGATGGAATTTTGGTACTGTTTAGGAGCTGTGAACAGTGTTCGAGCTGTTAAAAGGTGCAAAAAATACAAGAGGGTAAGAGGGAGAAGAAGATAGGTCTAGGAATCACTCCAAAAATCCCTTAAGCATCACACCTGGGTTTGATTGCATCACACAATCCATAAAAAACTTCAAAAGCTCTAAAATTTTCTAAAATATAGCATTACATGGCTGTATATAGAATAAGGAGACTTTTTAAACCAACTAAACAAATGAAGGAAACTATTAAAACTACTTTGACTTTTAAAAACAATTTAAGACCAAATAAGAAAATTAAATAAAAACTAATTAAATAATTTGACCTACAAGATAACCCATGGGTGACCCTTATGGCCCATGTCAACAAATATGAAAATTAGCAAAATGTCCCTGACCTAAAAATCCTAGAAAACATAAAAACAATAATTATATAAGATTTCTATCATTTTTTGTTTAAAATAATGCCAATGTCCAAATATCATCATTCTTTGAATTTAGTCTTCCTTGAGCTTCTTATATTCTGCATCACCTTGCCTCCGTCCCATTAGACTCCCACGCCACCCCACCTAACAAGTTTGGTCCAAACATAGGCTACATTCAAACTCTTATAAATTAACTTGTTTAGCTTTACAACTTATATTTTCAGCATTGAATCCCAATAATGTTGTTATATGGCTCAGGATGACAAATGACTAGCAAAGGTCAGAGATATGCCATGTAATCTGTAACTCTATTGCCTAGGAATAAATAGTTAATCACAAGACAAATCATATAATCCATCAGTTCCTTTTGGTGCAAATGATAAGCACTCTGAAAAATAATTCCTCCTAGAATATTTCAGCTGGAAGTTTATTAACAACTTTCCAAAGACAAACATTCCCCAGCTTTGTATAGCTCAGTATCCCCACACTTTCAAAGAGTTCTAAGATACAACCCAAAACAAGGCAGCTTCACCCAAAAAAAAAAAAAATTACTATTATCCAATTCCTCAGAACAAAACAAGGCCACAACAACTATTATCCAGATCCACAAAATAAAAGAAGGCTATATCCAGATAGCATCTGTAATGTATCCACTCCAGAATCAGCATTCCAGAAGCAAATCCATGACTGAAGCAATCAGAAAAAATGAGTAAAGCAACACACCATAAGATCTACCTGCCAATGAAACAGAAAATTACATGTTCTGATATGACAAAACTTCAAAAAAAAACAAGGAAAATTGAAGACAATATGATTATGACCTTGTTTGGGAAGTTGGCTATTTTAGTTGGTTATTTGGCTTTTTGGCTATTTTAGCCTGGCTAAAATAGTTGTGTTTAGTTGGGAAGTTGGCTTTTTTTTTTTCAGTTGATTTGATGGTTGTGAGAGAAAAAGTGAAATTATTATGGGTTGGATGTGACATTTTGTCTTAATAACTATTTTAGTCTATTTTGTCTTTATTGGTTATTTTAGCCAAAAAAGCTAAAAGGCAACTTGCCAAACAGGACCTATATTAAACCTCTGAATTCTCACTTGGATCCTCTTTTTCATCGCAAAATTTAGGGGGATAAGCTGAATCTGCAATCAAGGTAGTAGCTATGAACAAATAGCAGCAGACTTCATTAAACAAGTATAACATAATAAATTAATGAAATAATTAATACTTATGTTTGATTACTAGTAGTAGATATGAAGAAATAACAACAAAAAACTTCATTAAATAAATATGATATAATACATGAATGAAATAATTGAAATTTATGTTTAATTACTATTAATCTCATTCAATGGCCAACTTTATGCACTCATCTAGGCCTCCAAAGTTGGCTGA